CAGTCTAGGGAACACAAGACAGAAGGTTCACTTGTGCCAAGTTTCCTGCTGGCAACTTCTCAATAAGCAAGGTGTCAACAGAATACTAGACTGAGCAATAGAGGTAATGATCATGCCTATTCTAATGCACTTCTGCCATGATTGCTGCTATGGGATCTATGATGAAGGCCTTCAAGCAGAAGCTGGGCAGACACCTGTTTGGACTGCACTGATCCAATTGCATTACTAGGACTGGACCAGAGGGTGCATCCTGAAGGCCCATGTTTGTGAGGCCCTTAGATGTAGAACAACCTTCAGAAGAGGAGGTGAATGCCATAAGTAGTGATGCTACCAGGCAGGATTATGATGGATCAGGAAGAGACAGAACAGTGATTACGTCAGGAGGACAGGCTAGGAGAGTAGAGCCCCCAAAAGGTACATTGACTGTGGTATCCTCTAGGCTGGCAGTGCCCCCTCTGGTTGTGTATTGGGGTTGACCTTAGTAGACTAGAATGTTGCCTCCATGCTAATGGTGGCTCAAGATTCCCCATTGGTGGGGGTGGGAGATGTAGATGAACTGACTTCATCAATGAACCTTACAAGATTAAAAAAAAATTCACAGAGAAGATCTGCTACTGGCCCCACCCCACTTGCCACATTTTTTAAGAAAGCTAATTAGCTCCGGATTTCTATTTCTGAAGGATCCTTCCTCAGAGCCAGCTAAGGAGAGGCAAGTGTGCTGAGAAATTAATTGCATCGTGGTGACATAGGTGACCTCCCGACTACTCTACCCACAATGACTTGTTCCAAAGCCGTCTCATGGCAAGGGGCTTGGGGAGTCTGGGCAGCTCTAAAGAGCAATGTTGCCATTTCCCAACAATGGAATTCTGTCTTTTGAACATTTTATGTTTCTACATTTCAATAATTCTATCTCATCCATGGTTTTTCCCAGATGGAAACTAAAAAAGATGCGAGATTTCTGCCAATATGATGGTAGTCTACATCTCCCTCTTAATAGCCTGGCTTTTCAAAGGACTGCATCACTTTCCCCATTTTATACTCTACATTTACAAAATAGACAATACCTAGAGTAACTATATTCCAAATATAGTTTGTTTATGCTGCTTCTTGGAACATTTTAATACCTCATTTTATTGCTGGATTTATCTCTAGCCCTTATTGTAAAAGTTCTCTAAAGCTCATTCTGGTCCAGAGTGTTAAATTTATCTCTGCAATATAACATTAGCCAATTGCTATTATTTCAGCATGAAAAAGCACAAGGGAGGAAAAGAATGTTGGTGATTTGTACAATTTGTTCCTTGCAAACACCATATGAACAAAGAGCCTAATTCTGTCACAGTCCTTATTTATATTTTTCATGGAAATAAATCCAAAAAATAAAAAAAAATCTGGGTTATTTGAATGGTTTGTGTGCATCTTTGGGAAGTGGGATATATGCTATGCAGCACAAACCTAGGAATGTTTACTCTGAAGTTTCACTGTGTCCAATCAAGTTTACTTCCTGGTAAATTGCAAATAAGATTGGAGCCCTGGCGAGAGAAAAGTTAAATAATTCAAGTTTGCACTACTGCCAGCCAATGTGGTAAAGTTGTTAGTATAGTAGAATCATTGAATCATAGAGTTGGAAGAGACCTCATGGGCCATCTAATCCAACCCCCTGCCAGGAAGCAGGAAAATCACAATCAAAGCACCCTCGACAGATAGCCATCTAGCCTCTGTTTAAAAGCCTCCAAAGAAGGAGCTCCACCACATGTCGGGACAGAGAGTTCCACTGCTGAACAGCTCTCACAGTCAGGAAGTTCTTCCTAATGTTTAGGTAGAATCTCCTTTCTTGTAGTTTGAAGTCAATGTTCCACATCCTGGTCTCCAGGGCAGCAGAAAATAAGTTTCCTCCCTCCTCTTTATGACATCCCTTCACATATTAATACATGGCCATCTTGTCTCTTCTCAGCCTTCTCTTTTAAAGGATAAACATGCTGAGCTCTTTAAGCCACTCCTCATAGGGCTTGTTCTCCAGACCCTTGGTCATTTTAGTCACCCTCCTCTGGACACATTCTACCTTTCAATATCTCCCTTCAATTGCAGTGCCCTGTATTGGACATAGTATTCCAGATGTGGTTTGACCAAGGCAGAATAGAGGGGTAGCATGACTTTCCTGGATCTAGACACCATACTCCTATTAATGCAGGTAAAATGTACTCAGCTGCATTTTCCAATAAGAAAATGCACTGCTGGCTGAGAGATTCTGGAAGTCATAATCTAAAAAAGTAAATTTTAAAGCTCTAAATATAACCCTTCCTCAAAAACTGCCAGTGATCAAGATGACAGGAAAAGATGGAAACAATGCAAATAATTCTTATAAGTAAATTACATCAGGAAAAATGATGAAACCTTCACCTGCATTACTACCATCCAATCCTCCCCCACAACTATCTCTATACACTGAAAATATGGCCATTTCACATTGGGAGCAGGAGCAGTTTATGGCTCCTTTGTCAATGGAATGGTGTAGCAACTAGGCCTGTTTGATCAAGAAAAAATTTGTTTCTAAATTCGATTCTTAATTGGGGTGTTTTTTTGTTTCGATATTTAAAATATTTACAAAACTTTCCAAAAAAAGTTTTGTTATTTACGAAATTTCGTAAATATTTACAAAACATTTTAGAAACAAATTTTTTCTTGATCAAACAGGCCTATGTAGGGCAAATAGACATATGTTTGTGTGCTGGGGAGGGACTGGGCTGGCATGGCTGCAAATCCTGTTTCTTGCCATGGGAAAGGCAATTGCTTCTGCTGCAGTGGCCCATCCAAGGCCCAGAGAAGAGGCCTGCCTTCCTGGCTCTCTCCCTGCGAGGCCCGGCCAGCTTTGCTTCCCCTCCCATTTGCGCCAAGACCTTCCCTGCTGGGGAGAGGGGCCCCTCCTCACCTTCTCCTTCTTCAGCTTGTAGGGCATCCCGGACCGTGAAGGGCTGCCTGTGGCCCCGCGCTCGGCCTTTCTCTCGAGGAGTGCCGGGAGGAGGAGGAGGAGGAGGAGGGCGCAGCAGCCGGAGCCGATCGGATGGCGCGCGCGCTCCTGCGCCCTCTTCCTCCTCCTCCTCCTCCCGGCACTTCCTGCAACACAGCTGGGAGGAGGAGGAGGAGGAGGAGGAGGGCGCAGCAGCCGGAGCCGATCGGATGGCGCGCGCGCTCCTGCGCCCTCTTCCTCCTCCTCCTCCTCCCGGCACTTCCTGCAACACAGCTGGGAGGAGGAGGAGGAGGAGGAGGAGGGCGCAGCAGCCGGAGCTGATTGGATGGCGCGCGCGCTCCTGCGCCCTCCTCCTCCTCGCGCCGCCCCTTCGCCCCGCCCGCCCCAGTTACTGCTGGGGTGCTTGGGAGCGCCGGATTGGCTCCCAGGCACCAGCACTGCAGCACAGCAGCCTCCATCCCATTAACGAGCGGAGCTTCAGCTCGTAAAAAAAATGGGGCTGCTGCTTCGATATTTTCAAACCCTTCCGGGTTTGAAAATATGTTTTGATATCGCTTCGGATATGCAAAAAATAACGATTCAAATACGAAATAACGAATTAACGAAACGAAACCGACAGGCCTAGTAGCAACTCCAGGTCTTTATAGGAACTAGAAAGGGGCTCTCCAAAGTACTGAAATTAGAGCGCTTCTTTAAAATTTAGCTAGGAGAAAATTCACAACAGTGAGTACCAACAGTTGCAATTGATTGGGAAGTCTGATTGTGTTTCTCCTTCACCATTTTGACCATTGCTTGGTTGCTGAAGGGAAGACAAACAGAAGCACTGGTTGGATATGATGCAAACTTGCCACTTACAGCCCAGATAAGAAGCACAGTCCTTCAGATTTCAGGATACTACAACAAAAAGCAAAGCAGCAAGTCTAGTTACCAATTTCTTTCCAGGTTCTGTCCAACAGTCTCCTCTACCCCACAAGTGACACACCTGAAATGTTGTTGACCAACAGAAGAGAAAAGGCAGTCCAGAAGACAAATACAGAAGAGGGAAGAAGGACCAGGGATATCTTGACTCTGATCTCAAATCTAACCTGAAATATTCTTAGGCTATCATGAAATTTTAAAAATACTTAGGTACTCTAGATCTAGGAAACAATTATTACTATTATGTTTCCTTTGTGAGTGTTTGGTCTCCCCCATTTATTATATGATAGCAATGATCTCTGAATATATGGTAGGAATCCATGGTTGAAAATGGAAATGTCCAAGCCAGTTAAGCTTCACTGGTTGCAGGGTAGGATTTCAAAGGATGGCTTTGTTTTAAGAACACTGAATTGCTGTGTTCTCTTTATTTATTGCCAGTAAGACAAAAAACAACACCTTGTCAACAATGATAATGATGTCAACAGAGATGTTTTGCACATACCGTTCAATTGCTGTATACATCTTCTCTTGTTCTAAATTTCTATTGAAAAGAAAAATGGAGCACTTTGCACTGTAGAATCTGTTTAAAGCCTTAAGAGATTTCTGCAGTCTAGCTTTTTGCAGCATTATAGCTGTTGTTCCCACCATCATATCCCAGCCATTTAGTGCACCTACCCTTCTACAGCAGTGAACATATGGGACATTCCTCATTACATTACTATTTACCTCATGAATCCTGCCTTTAAAAAAATTAAAAGGATTTTTTCAATAAATATTATCATGATCATTCTTGGTTTTAATTGCCAATAAATCCACTGTTCTATGAACGGTAGAACAGTAGCCATGCCAAGTTGCACAGCTTGACATTTTTACTACAACTCCTGTAACCCAAGTAGTAGTCTAAGATCTAAATCCAATCACCAGTTTCAACAAAAGGAGAACCAATGAATAAATGAGGTTACACAAGTGTTGATTTACCACGCAACAAGCGATTCAGTGGTTCATCTCTAGCTGGGACTAGCAATTAGATGGCAAGTCCCCAACAGTTAGCTTTTCCATGCTTTGTCTAACAATACTGAGCAGATAAAAGGAAAACAACAATATATATTTTGCTTACTTCCCCCTGGTGGTTTCAAAGCTAGGTTTTTTCAAGTCCGCATTTGGCTTGCTGCTGATGCTGTTGTAACCTGATTGTCTAGACGATCTGCTCACCGTTGCTCCTTTCAAAGCTTCCCTTTCAAGAGGACCTTTTCGAGGAATGATTTGTGCTTGAGTTTTTGTGCTGTTCGATAAAACAGATGGTTTTCCATTTGAAAAATCACTGTTAATGTTGCCACCACTAGGATTTGTACGATTTAAAGATGTCTTCTTCAATGTTGCTGCTGGCATTTGCAATCCTTGAATTTCTTCCACAAGTGAAGGAGAACCATGTTTTTCATCCACCACCTGAGTTGTGTTTTCTAAAACAGTCGACTTCTCTGTGGTAGGAGGCAAAGGTGTTGTCAATACGAATCCCTTTATTCTGGTCAAAGTCAAATCAGGCTGACTTGTTTCCATTTCACTTTCCACAGATGTAGTAAGGGCCATGCCAGTTGAATTGGCCCCTGTGCTGCTCCATTTTAGGCACAATAACACCAAAATCAAGAGTACCTCCTTCATTCTCTTGGCTTGTTTGAATTAACAAGTCCCTTAGTAAGTTTTTGTAGCTGGCTTCTCCTGCCTCTTCCCCTTCAAACTGTTGCTTTCACAATGAACCTGCAGAGAATGGCCCATCTGGGGATTTTTGTTTGTGGTGCAGAAAGGAAACAGGTTTTTAACATTTGAAAGTGGAGCGGGGAAGCTCCATTTCCTGTTTCTTTGGATTCCTCTGTAACCTGTGACCTCTTGGAGCTATGGAACAAGCAATCCTTAGGAAAAGGCTACAAAGATGGCTTTGTGGGAGCTGCAGGATGGGAAATAAAGGCACAATGTGAACATGGAAACAAGTTGTCAGTAAAAAAGAAAAGAAAAGAAAGGGGATGGGTGGGGCAGAAGAATTGCTGAGTAACTTCCTTTTCACATCAATGAGCAACAGAACGTGAGAGACCTCAACTGTACCATTTGAAATTGTATCATGTCATAAAGTTTAAACACCCCGTGTGTCTGAAGACTATATAAAATTAATGTGTAATCTTTTTGTTATCACTACCACTCAATGGTCCAGCTACAGCCCTGCTTACATATCATTACATTTTTTTTTCTCATGCTACTTTCATGCCATAGGATTTCTGCTTTCTGTTCTTCTACTAGGGAGCACTGCATGTACTTCTATCTTCTTTTAATTTGGTCCTATTCATGTTGATGGAATGTTTTCTTTGTGGTGTATGAAACAACTATTCCATCCCATGTGTGTGATCAGCCTTTGACAGTGTGGGACACGTTACACATCATGAGAAGCCATGGTATGCTGAATCTTGAAAGTTATGAACCTATATCCAACTCTGCTAACAAGCTATGGATGGTTAACTAGTTACAAACCAGATACTCAATTGTTGGCTAATAGATTCTAGTTTAGACTATGGGTTATAGTGATGTGTAATCCTCAATATCAGTTTTTCACTGGCCTTTCATATCATATTAAAACACCATTCTACACTAATGGACAAAATAATAAAGATTATCTCCTGATAGTCTTATGATCCTAACTTAGAAGCAGCAATTGAATTTAGAACCAAGTGCGTCAACATCATGGAGATTGACACTACTTAGATTTTCCTTCTTGGTCACCATACTCCCTGAAGCTGGGTATGATTGGAGATGGAAAAAACCTGAAGCTAGCATAGATGTTTATGTAAGCAAAGTAGAGTTACATACTTGCCAGCAACCTGCCAAACACTGGAGCAATTGACTCAATGTAACTAAAAGGCAAGTATCTCCTCTGAGCCAGTTTGGGCAGCTGCTAAAGTGGCTTCCTGATTTATCTGCTGTGAGTAGAAAGATTCCTCGCAGCCTATGCAACTGACATTGCATTAGCAACACTCCTTGGGACTAGGAAAAGTACTGTATAAGATATAAACAACTGAGATCAGCCAGCCAGAGCTGCTGTGCTAAAATACATCTGTAACACCAGGTCCCTCCTGTTTACATTGCTACGTGTGCTTTCAAAAAGCCAAGCACTCTGGTTTCTCAAGGCTGAACAACCCTTCCACAAAAGGGTAATTGCTATGTAGGAAATATAAAAAGCAGGTCACTCCCTCCCTATTTCCCAGCACTTTAATAGAATTGTTGAGTCAAAACCTAAGGCAGATATGCTGATGTTTTAGGTTGGTAAATCAATGGTCCTGGTCAGAATAAATTACCCTGCCTTTCCCAGCACATTTCAACAAGATTAGAAAACAACCATGGCCTGAATTTAATTAAAGATGGCAGGGTGGAAGATGCTACCCGAGAAAAGAGAGGAGATATCACAGGCTTAGTCTTCCTTTTCTTTAGAGAGACCAAGGACTTAGGTGCAAATCTGGGGCAAGGGAGAGAAGTAAAAGTCATAATTGGGGCCACACAGTCAGCAGTGTTATTGAAGGGATACTTAGGAAATGTGATGCTCTGCAATCCCACCCCACCGGAGTGATGCTGACCTTTCTAAGCCCCTGCACAAAAGTACGGTTTATCTTGATCATGCTGGGGGGGGGGGCACATTCATTCATCCTATGCACATAATAACATGAATTCTCGTATCCTACAGAGACCCAGTGAGATATTATGTTTGAGTGTAGTATTAGTACTCTAGGAGACCAAGGCTTGAATCCCCACTTGGCTATGGAAACCCACTGGGTGGGTGATCTTGGACAAGTCAGTTTCTTTTCCTCAGAGGAATATAATGTTACTCCATCCCCTAAAAATTCTTGCTAACGAAAATTTTGTGATGAATTCATCTTGGAATCATCGTAAGTTGGAAATTATTTGAAGGTGTACACATAATCCGTACCAACATAATAATGCCACTGTAAAAAAAAACTCAAAATGATTGAGGGCAAAGCTACAGTGGCCACTTAACATGGATTGAAGGCATCTCAAAAACACTGTGTTCAAATGACACACAGTGCAAATGCGCACAGGGATGCACTACAGATGCAAAGTCACCACCATTTTTTCAACCAGATATTAAAAAAGGCCTGAAGGAGTGCTATGGTGGGGAGAGTAGAAAGGTCAATGCATCTTTCAAGTTCTCTCAGGCTGACTAAGCTTTCACTTTCCACCAGTTCACTCAGAGAAGATTGTTCCTTTTGGGGAGTTGTAGTTTGCCACCATTTTAACTGGCATAATTTGATGCTATGGAATCATGGGAGTTGAAGTTCAGTGAGACCCAAGCACGACTTAATACAGAAGGCTAAAGACTATGGGTGGTTACAATTTCCATGATTCCATAGCTGTGAGCCATAGCAGTCAAAGTACTGTAGTTCCTTTTTGGGAGTTTTGTCTAATTGTATTAAGTATACAGTACAGATCAAACATGAGCAACCTTTGACCCTCCAGATGTTTTGGACTTCAACTCCCACAATTCCCAACAGCCAATAAACTGGCTGGGATTTCTGGGATTTGAAGTCCCAGAAATCCCAGCCAGTTTATCGGCTGTTGGGAATTGTGGGAGTTGAAGTCCAAAACACCTGGAGGGCCAAAGGTTGCCCATGCCTGGTGTAGATTCACCCTTTGTCACCACCAACTTTTTAAATTGTGCCTGGAAATGTACCTGTAGCCGCAGTTGACAACCTGACTGCAGATCTTTGGGCCAACTTGTTTGGACTAGGTCCCGTGTATCACCATCTTAGAAACAGACATGCACAGTTGATAGGTATCTTTTTATACCTATTCCAAATTTGTGCTATACAAAGAAATTGCTGTTTTTCATTCTTTTCCTCACTGTGTGTAGGACTAAAAATACAATTTCACAAAATTCTTCTGCTTAAGGATCTTGCACCATTTCATCCCGGAAATCACAACTTGACTTCTTTCAACCACTAACCTGACACACTTAAGAAATTCTATGTTGTATCTTTTGAATGTTGTAATGATTTCAGCAATACACGATTTCCCCAGCCGGATGAACTAGACCGAATCATTTCTCACTTCTCTTTTCAACAAGCCGAAAATGATTGTGCTATTAAGATGCACCCAGAGGAAATTCACACTTTCTCCAATACTTTGTCCCTCCTTGGCTTTCCATATTTTGTCAGTTTGGAATGCTAGTCTAGCATTGCTAGAAAAGAGGAATGGCATCGCCAAAAGATGAAAAGTATACAGTTTTGTAAAAAATTCATATATATAATTTACATGGAAAGATGCATATTTTAAAACAATTGCTATAATTTTAAGCAGGAATACAATGCATTTCACTGTAATAAGGACAATCCATGGTGCATCTATTCTGTAGAACGTATATAGTTTAACACCACTTTGACTGCTATGGCTTGATGCTATGGAATAATGGGAACTGTAGTTTTGCAAGGCCTTTAGCCTTCTTTGCCAAATAGTGCTGAGGTCTAAACAGACTACAACTCATTTGATTCCAAAGCATTGAGCCACATGTGGTGTCAAACTGTATGATTTCTACATCACTTCTGTGTTTTCTGTTCATTTGATTTCTAGGTAGTGGAAGTATCTGTGCTGTTGTTTGTACGGGCAGGACAAACCTAATAGAGGACACCTCCACATAGAGGACTGTCTTCTCCAAATGGTCCCCTCTTTCAACTCTTTAGTCATGCCTCATCCATGAGATTTATATATTATACTATGATGATTTAATATCTTTTTGAAGTACCCGGTGGCATAATGGGTTAAACCCTTGTGCCAGCAGGACTGCTGACCTGCATTTCGAATACGGGGAGAGCAGATTGAACTCCCTATGTCAGCTCCAGCTCCCCATCCAGAAACATGAGAGAAGCTTCCCACATGGATAGTAAAATATCAAACATCCAGGCTTGCCCTGGGCAATGTCCTTGCAGTGGCTCCTGACATGAAAAAAGTATCTTATTAGTGACATGTGCACCACACATCTTGTGTTGTTGTTCAGTATATCTTTTTTTCAATGGGAATGCTACAGGTGTCATCATCAAAGCAAGCAGATGAAATGTGGAATCTATGTGAACACTCTCAGATGGATCCATAACTGGCTGAAAATTCATGCCCAAAGAGTCATCATCAACGGCTGCACTTCAAGCTGGAAGGAGATCTCAAGTGTCATAGGCCCTAGAGAAATTGCTCTTCAATATTTTTAACATTGACTTTTGATCATGATGGGATAGAGGGATTCTTTGTCAAGTTTGTAAATGATACAAAATGGGAGGGGAAACTAACACATTGGAAGATAGGAGCAGAATTTTAAAAAACTAGAAAATAGATAGAAAAATTATATCAGAAGAACAGCATTTAGATTTTTCAGGGTGGTTTTAATATTCATCATTACACAGAAAAGATATGTATTCTTGGCTTTTTGACATAGATGCTCATCCTCTTGAATGTGTGATATTCAGCACAGCTTAAAAATTTTAAAAAATAGCTACAGTTCCATAGGAGACGAAAAATTTTGATTTTATTGCTTCCTTGCTCAAGTGATACTGAGATGTGCAAAGGTTGTGATATCGGACACTTTGCGAAGCCTCTCTAGCATATCCTTTGGTCATGATTTATGTGTCTGGTGAGTGTCATGATAATGTTAGTACAACAGATTCATCTTTTGTGACACTTCCCATGCTTCCAGTCACAGTCATGTCAGTGTCCACAATTGTATCAGTACATAACAATGTATGCTATTCTACTTCTTTCCACCAAGGATGTGGACAGCCCGAGGGGCATTAGAAAATCCAGAATAAATAAGATTGCATTCATAGTTCGATTCAATAGCTGCTGCTGTTCAGTCAGGTTGCCTTTTTCCTCTTCCATTATAAATTGCTGAAATGCCAATTTAAC